GTTTGCCATCCTAGTCTTTCTGGTTTTGTAACAGCAAGCAGGTCAGCAGTTGTGCTGGGTGTGTGGGGAGCCTGGAGCAGGATCATGGGAGGTTCGTGCTAGAGACATTGGCAGGAGTGCTAGAGGCACTGTGGGAGCAGGGCAATCAGGACTGTAGTTTCAGTGACAGTGGCACCTGCTGTTGGAAGGCTCAAGCTGCAAGAGAGGAGGCCACTTCCTGCCTGAAGTGAAGCCCCGCCCCTCACTCCCCCTCCCTCCAGAATCCTGCCTGACTGCCACTCCATCCTTTGTGATTCTGATTGGCGGTGCATTGTCTGACATCATGCGTAGTCAAGGTGTGTGGTAGCGGTCCAATCAGGTGCTCCCAGGAAGCCCTGTGGCAGCAGGCAGGAGGTTGTTGTAGGCGCCACCATAGCCGCATTGCTGGTTGTGCTGGTGGAGAGGTGCAGGTGGCTGAGCCAGTGCTGCCCTGTGAGCTCCCTCCCCGCAGGAGCCTGTGCAGGACACCCGACTGGTGAGAAGCTGGGAAGGGTGAGTGTGTGAGAGCATCTCCTGAGGCCGCGGGGCGGGCGGGGGCCAGGAGGGGGACCTTGGGGTCCTCACTCTGCAGCACTGACCTTGAACACTAGGACTCACAGTGGAACCCATTGTGCAGTGAGGAGGGGGGAGTGCCCAGGGACAGTTCGACCTTCATGTTGGGCAGGATTTGCTCTCTCTCTCTCTTTTTATTTATATCAATTTGTATTTTAATTGGCCTGATTTTCCTGAGTTGAGAAGCCCCGTCTCAGGCCCCCAGCTCATTCCTCAGTGTAGCTCCTCCTAAGGGTCTGGGGCGGTTTTCTTGTTGCTCACACCAGACCAGCACAGACTCCAGCAGTTAGAACAAACAGCCTTGTTTTCCTCAGAGTTTTGCTGCAAGGTTGAGGGGCAGCATGTGGTGCTGGCGTTGTGCTTGACCAATGCCTGGGGTGGCACAGTGACTTTGCAGAGAAGCTATTTGAAAAAATCCTTTGTCAAATAAAGTCTTGGTCTCTTTGATCTTCCATAGTCAAAGGTGACTAAATCCTGGTACTGTCAGATAATTGATGTTTATGATTTCTTAAATTGAATTTTTTAAATTGATGTGGCATGGTAAATAGATCTTAAAAATTTCTTTATTTGTTTTCTTGCTTTTTTTATGTTCAAATGAGAGTTCAAGTAAGAGAAAGGGCCAGGTCCCTTGGCCTAGTAGTTGAAGTCCTCTCCTTGAGTGCCCTGGGATCCCATATGGGCACCGCTTCTAATCCCGGCAGCTCTGCTTCCTATCCAGCCTTGTGCTTGTGGCCGGGGAAAGCTGGAGGGTGGGTAGGCATTGAGCCTGTGCAGGGATGCGGGAGGCGGAAGGTGCTAGCGTATGTGGCTGGCCCGGCACCTGCTGCAGGTTCAGGATGCTGTCGATGGCACTTTGCAAGTGCTCCATGAGAGTGTTGTTCTGTGGACTGTGGCTTGAGAAGCTGGCCTGGTCCATGTCTGTGGACTGTCCTTGCGCCACTTGGCGGGTGGCATTGTGAGGGCCTCCCAGCTGGCATGGGCGGCTGTGTGGGTGGGCTCAGGCAGCGTGGCGGTGCCCTTAAGTAGCTGCTGGTACAGTTCGTCCTCCACGGCCGCCACTTGTGGCCTCGTCCACCTTGGCGGGCAGGGGCGTGGCACTGGTGGCCACATGCTCTGGGTAGCTCTTGCAGAGCAGCAGGCGCAGCCAGGGTGGCGTAGGCCCGCGGCCCTGTGAGTGGCGTGTGGCGCCTGCCGTGGCGTGTGGTCCACGATGCCGTTCATCTGGGTGGCCGGGGTTGATGGTGGCGAGGGTGACGCTGCAGGGGCATTCTGGGGCGCAGGGGACGGCTGGTGCCCAGGGTCCAGCGCCTTGTTGTGCACCACCTTGCTGAGCCTGGTCTCCTGTTTGATCTTGAGCTTGAGACTGATGTGGCTTCGCACCTCGTAGGTCTTAATTGGAGGGTTGTTGTGGGAAGGCGTGGGGCTGTCCTTGTTGGTGTCAAGGGAAGAGGCAGCGGACCACGAGGAGGAAGACAGGGAGGAGGACGCATCAGCCCAGGTCATGGAAGGCGATCCACCAGCCCCGCAATGCCGGATCACAAGCTTGGAGGGCAGGTGCGACGGCCTGGGTGTGTTTCAATAACTGGGTGGAGACCGTCTCAAATTCCTTGTCCACCTTGTAGTCGCTGGGGGAGGGGAGGGCGCCCTGGTACACGTGGTAGGGCAGCAGGCCCTGCAGGGCATCCTGCAGGTAGGGGAAGGTGGTCTTGCAGTCGGGGTGCAGCACAGACCCTTGGTATTTGTGCAAATGCTCCAGGAGACAGGCCTCCTTGCTGGGTTGCAGTGCAGGGGCCTTCTTCAGCTGTAGTTAAGGTACAGGGTCCTTGGTCACACTTAGGGCTGGGAGGCTGCCAGCAAACGGGGAGATGTACCTGCGCCTGATGGAGGTCCAGGGGCAGCAGCGTGCTGGCTGCAGGGGGTGCTGGTGGGGTGGGCTGCATGGTGAGCACGGGGGTGGCCTCCCGGGTGGTAGTGGTAGAGGAGGCAGCCGCCGCAGCAGCGGGAAGAGCTGCTGGCTGTACCAGCCCATGGGGCGTTGAGCATGGCCATGGCACTGGGAGGCAGGGTGACGCCCTGCAGGACTGTGGTGGTGGTGGTGTGGACCACGTCTGCAGGCTGGCTCTGTGTGGGCAGGCTGCCCGCAGCCAGTGACATGGGCATCTGGAAGAACGTGGGCTGGCCCACCCAGATAGGTGCAGCCGAGAGGATGTGTGTGGCAGTGCTGTGTGCACCCGAGGGCGGGGCCAGCACAGGGCCCAGGCTCATAGGGGTTGCCAAGTTTTGGTTGTGAGGATGGGGTTGGCGATGAGCTGTACGTGTGTGTGAGGGGATGCAGCAGCCAGGATCTGGCCACCCACATTGGCTGGCAAGGAGGAGAGTGGTTGCAGGAGCTGGAAGGTGGGGACGCCAGGCAGTAGGAACTGGTTCTGGCCGGGCAGCTTGTGGTGGGCAGGGATGACGATACTGCTGCCCTGGTTCAGCAGGTGCACACTCATGGGTTTGTTCAAGACACCTGATGGCTTCAGTTGCACCACCCCAGTTGCAGTGGCTGGTGGCTACCTGAAGACGCTGGCCTGCCGGGTGGGCGCAGGGAAGCCTGACAACACCACGTTCTGTCCAGCCTTGCCAGCTGCCATGGAGGTCAGGTTCTGCAGTGCCTTGGGCTGTGGTGGGAGGGAGCCCAGCTCGCCCTGGATGGTGAGTGTGGCACAGGTGGGTGCAAAAGGCTTAGGCGTTGGTTGGTACAGCTTGGGGAACACCACCCTTGCTAGCTTGGGCTGGATGGGCGTGGGCGTATGGTGTAGGATCATGTTGGATCTTCCGTCAAATGATTCACTCCCCAAGTGACCACAGTGGCCAGTACTGTGCCAATCTGATGCTGGGAGCCAGGAGCTCTCACGGGCCTCCTACTTGGGTGCAGGGACCCAAAGCTTTGGGCCATCCTCGACTGGTTTCCCAGGCTACAAGCAAGGAGCTGGATGGGAAGTGGGCTGCCTGGATGAGAACCAGCTACCATATGGGATCCCAGAGCGCTCAAGGTGAGGACTTTGCCTGCTAGCCCATGGCACCGGGCCCAATCACTCCATTCCTAGCACAATGAATTCGCTGCAGAATCCACTGACTGACATAGCTCATCTTAGAGTCTCCATTTGCCCAGTTTTTCACTACCAACATATGGCTGGATTAGTTCATTGATTCGTTCTGTCCTCTGTTGAGGTGCCAGGTATCCTCTGCAGGTTCCTATAGACTGCCATATCCTCCATGTGTACCTGATTATGTCCTAGGTGGCTCGGCTCTGGCACTTGCACTCCATGGCAGACCCTGGAACCTGCACTTCCCTCCATGGGTAGAGTTCTGAGTCTAGCAGTTTGTGCGGGGAAATCCCCAAAGAAACTTTGAGGTGATCCTGGACTAGATTCTCGTGTGTACTTGCAGCTACAGGGCCCAACACAGTCCATTGCCCCAATCAGCTGTGGTTGCAATTGCTATGTTGGTTCTGTTTTCAGCCCTGTCCTCCACTGGAACCAATGGGTGTTGCAGTTCAGCCTGATTCTGACAGCACACCTTTGGCCCTCACATAAACTAAAGGGAACTGCAACCTATTGCGGCCACTCACAGTAACCCCTACCAGGCCCGTCCCTTGCCCTAGTTCCCATGCTTACCACTTCGTGTAGCCGACCAGTTCAGTCTGTCTCACCTCTCATTCAGCTCTCATATATGTCAAAGGTATTGGAGCCTAGTTCAACCTAACCAGCTCCATTATCCAGCCCACACACATTCTGTTTGTTGCCATTCTGTCCAGCCACCCCTCCCCCAGTGCTGGTTTTAATGCTCTGCAGTGGAAGTGGTAACCCAAGAGGGAGGTGCCCACTGTTTCTCTCTTAGATCACTCAAAACTCCCAGATCATGCACTTTTCACATGGTTCTGTAGTTTAACTTGACAGATTAGCCACTGGTGCCAGCATCTGCTCTCTGATGCGGTTGTAAAACCCAGCCAACCCTCACCTATTCTGCTTTATGTTTGCCCAGGAGGGACAGTCAATTAAACCTGACTATTCCCTGATCTGGCTCACCTGAGGCCCACAGGTGTTATAGCCCTGCCTGGTCTGGTCTGTCCCCATCCCAACTCATGCTGTCCAGTGAGCAACATGTTCCAGCAGGGTGCCCTCCATATTCTCCCTACCAGGTTTGCCCCCTACCTTTTTGGTTCCTATGAGTGTTGTGGCCCAACCTGGCATGGCCCGCTTCACCTTGGCATTTGTTAGTGCGTGCTGTAGCCTACCAGGCCTGGCTCACCCCCAATTCCAGCTGGGGAGGGTTACAGTCAATTCCAGCCCAGCGTGTACCCTATCCCAGCTGTAATGAGTAATGGTATGTGTTAACAACCATAACTGTCCTGACCCCATACTGTTCTGTTGCTCGGATTAATCAGTGGCTGACGGGAACTGGTGCAGCCTGGCCTATCCCTGAACTATGTAGAATGTATGTCCTGTAGCAGGGACAGTCAGTCAAGCCTGACTCTTCCCTGATATGGCTTGCATGAGGCCCACAGGTGTTATAGCCCTGCCTGGTATTAACTCATGCTGTACAGTGAGTGAGGTGTTCCAGCAGGGGTGCCCTCTGCATTCCCCCTACCAGCTAGTGGGAGCAGTAGCCAGCCTGGCCAGGCCCACTCTCAATTCCTGCTGTAATGTGTACTGGTGTGTGTCACAACCATAGTGGTTCGACTCACACTGTTCTGTTGCTCAGATTCGTCAGCGGTGTTGTAAACTGGTCCACCCCTGACCTGTGCCAAGTGTCTGCCGTTGGGTACCTTTCCCTGGCCTGCTCTGGGCTGTTTGTTTTGTGCTTAATGTGCTTACCTGCTGCTGGGCTGTGTCCTGACAGAGGAGTTGCCCAGATTGGTCTGTGAGAACCTCTCCCAATGCCAGATTTTGCATGTACTTGTAGGTCCATGAGCCAGCCCTATTCATTCCACCTCCTGTCCTAGCAGGAACAGTGGTCTTTCCTAACTGGCCTTCAATCCATTCTGCTTGTTGTTGGATGTTTCAGCACAGCCAAGGCTCATCCATACCCAAACACAGCTCACACATGGCTCAGTAGGGGTAAAGGTCAAGCTTAGTCCATCCCACAGCTACCCTGGTCCTCCAGAATATGAGATGGTGTTGGAGTCTGGCCTGGCTTGGTGCGTCCAGTCCCAGTCCACAATTGTGACAAGGGAGACTGTAGCTGTATCCAGATGAGAATGCATTCTGCACTAAAGCCCCTGAACTCCCAAGTCAGCTAGGGTGTCCTCTTAGGTGCCTAACCAGGCCTGTTCCCAGCCATAAATTGTATATATGCCAGTGGTTGCTCTGACTTTCTTGGCATAACGTCTCACCTGTCTTGGCCTTTGCCTTTGATACTGTGGTCTAGCAGCTAGGGTCCGTGGCTTGAATGAGCCAGGATCCCATATGCTCTCAGGTTCTAATATCTGCAGCTCATTTTCCATCCAGCTCCGTACTTGTGGCCTGGGAAAGCAGTCGAGGACGGCCCAAACAATTGAGACCCTGTACCCACGTGGGAGACTTGGAGGAAGTTCCTGGCTCATGGCTTCGGATCTGCACAGCACTGGACATTGTGGTCACTTGTGGAATGAATCATTGGTTGGAAGATCTTCCTCTCTGTCTCTCCTCCTCTCTGTATATCTGACTTTGCAATAAAAATAAATAAAATCTTAAAAAAAAAAAAGAGGTTCTTTGACCCACATATCAGATTCTCAAGATACCATTTAAAAAAACAAACAAAAGAAGATGTTATTCATTTTTTTCCTAAGATTTATTTATTTATTTATTGGAAAATAAGATATACAGAGAGAAGGAGAGACAAAGAGTAAGATCTTCTGTCCGATGATTCTCTCCCCAAGTGAGCACAATGGCCGATGCTATGCTGATCACAAGCCAGGATCCAGGAACTTTTTTTGAGTATCCACACTGGTGCAGGGTCCCAAAGTTTAGGCCGTCCTCTACTGCTTTCCCAGGCCACAATCAGGGAGCTGAAAGGGAATTGGAGCTGCTGGGATTAGAACCAGCGCCCATATGCGATCCTGGCACATTCAAAGTGAGGACTTTACCCGCTAGGCCATGCTGCCGGGCCCAGAAGAAATGTTACTTTAAACTTCCCTGAAAGTCTCCAGTCATGGTGGGTAGTGCTGTGCCAGTGCAAGAAGGGCCAACACAGAGCCTGATGGGCCACTTGGTGCTGTCCAGTCTGGATCTTTGTGATGTGCACATCTACAGCAGGGAAGAAATACAAGTAACTGTTCTCACATTCCACTCGAGCCCTTTGAATCAAAGTGTTTCCTTATCTGTCAAACTTTCTAGTAAATTTATATATAGATACAGACATAGATATACATATATAGATATAGATATAGATACAGATATAGGTATAGTAGAGAGAATGATGGAATGTGTGTGTGTGTGTGTTTTAGGAGAGAATCCCAGTGATATCACTGGTGGTGGGTTTTTTTTTCAATTAATTAATTTATTTTTTATTGATTACATTGCATTATGTGACACAGTGTTACAGGCACTGGGATTCCCTCCTCCCCTCCCCAAAACCCATTCCCCCCATGGTGGATTCTTCCACCTTGTTGCATTACCACAGGTCAAATTTGGTTGAGATTATTTCCTTGCAAGCATCTACAAAGCATAGAGTCCAGCATCTTATTGTCCAGATAAGTTTATGGTGGTGGTTGTTTTAAACATTTGTTTTTGTTGCAAAGTCAGATTACAGAGAGAAAGAGAGATAGAAAGAAAAATCTTTCATCCATTGGTTTTCTTTCCCAAGTGGCAACAACAGCCAGAGCTGAGCTGATCCAAGGCCAGGAGCCAGGAGCACATTCAGGGTCTCCCACCCAGCAGTTGTTCTGTTACCACCAAATGTACTGTGAACTTCACCTTGTTGTTTGAACTCTTGGTCTTGGCAGTCTGGATGTTGCTTCAGAACAGCTATGTGTGTGTTTGGGGTGCCTTTTTGCTTGGTGTGACTGTTTTCATCCCTGCAGTGATTAGAAAGTAGTGTAAAGTTGGGATTCAAATGAAATTTTAATAGTGGAATTTCATCTCACATTGCCATGTACTAATTATATACCTTGGGCAAATTACTCCTCTTTCTTTTTTTCTATTTTTCTTTTTTTTCTTTCTTTTTTTTTTTTTCTGGAAAAACAAGCTTTTCAAAGCAACCTGAGAACAGTCATGGGAGGATATTTACAAACTCTGAGGAGGGAGGGCACAATGGCATTTCCATTTGGCAAGGTCAGAGTCTAACCACACAAAACCAGCGGAAACTTCTTAAAGTGCAACAAAACTGTGTCCTTGAAGATGCCCATCATGTCTGTTATCCAAACATACTTTTGTTTCAGGAAAGATGACATCTGAGCCAATCTCTTGAGGGTTCTGCTTGATCATGAAAATCAGTGTTTACATTGAAAACATAATTAAGTTATTAACCTTCTTCATATTTTTACAATAGGGATTTCATTCACGTTCTGAGTAGTTGAATTGATAAAGATCTTGTGTCCATTTTGTTAGAGAGGGATTATACCAGTTTCTTTTCACAATAGCCAACTGGAAGATTATTTGGATTTTGAAGTGCTGCCAGGGCTGCATCTGTAATGGTAGCTAGATAATTGAGATTTCTATGTAATACCTGCTGGTCCTGGACGCACTCATGGGTCCTCCACTAAGCAGTGGATGATCATTCCCTCCAGGAGCGGCTGAGATGTCTCCTGATTGATTTCAGCACTGCCCCACAGCCAATCAGGAAC